TGTAATTTGGAAAATTAGAGGATCAGGGTAATAAGAGATAAAGAACTACAGTTGTTTTATTATTTTATGGAAGTTAAATTTACGAAATAGAAATAAGTTTAATACGAAAGGGTTGCTGGAAAATCTTGAAACAAGAATGCAGAAAAGGGGTGGTATGGGGAAGTCGTTTTTGTGTTTATTTATGTTTTTGCTTTGTTTTCTTTTTTACTTATGGAAAATTAATAAAAATTTATTTAAAAAAAAAAGAGAATACTATTTTCTTAGTACTAAATTGCATTGTATATATTATTATTATTTTAATTTTTGATGGAGCAATGCAATTCTCACCTTTCTCTCAGCTAGCATATCCATTATAGTTTGGACCAGCAACATGCTGTAGTTGCACAGATGTCAGGCACCTATTGGCCAGTGTCTGTGACAACACTGACAATGAATTCTGCATTTCTCCTTTTCCATGTTGAAACTATACTGAGAACATGTTCTGGGTGCCACATTTTAGGAAGGACATTAAAAACTGGGAAGTGGCCAGGATGGTGTGTTGTCTGGAAAACAAATCCTTTGAGGAACAATTAAAAGAGTTGGGTATGGTTAGTCTAGACAAAGAAGATTAAAGGTTTTCAGATATCTGAAGGGCAGACAAAGAGAAGATGGAGCAGGCTGGTTTTTTCATTGATTCATAGGACATGATGCATAGAAATTGCAAGGAATCATATTTTGATTAAATACCAGGAGAAACTCCCTAAGGAGCTGTTTGACTTCAGACCCCCTCCAGACAACCTGTTTATTGAGCGTTTGCTCTGGTTTGCTGGCACAAAGCTTACACGGAGGTTAGATTATATCCAGGACTTTATTGAGCATTTATTCTGATTTGCTTGAGGGGCAGTTATAAAGCTCTGAGCCTTTGTCCTGCTTCCCTCTTAATTTGCTTGCACATCTTTCTGTTAGTCATTCCTTCATCACACACTTTTCAACGCATTTCCCCAGCAATTTTTTAAACCGCAAAAAAAGTCTGATTCCTTTTAAAAAGTGGATTTGTTGCACCTGGGCAACCAAGCCCTTTAATCCACTTAAACTGCACAAACCTAAAGTTCTGCTGTGCCTGAATTCCTTATGCAAAATAGTGACAGCCTGGAGGCTCTCCTTTCCTGCAGGCCTTGAAGCACAGGGTGGACTCAATAGCTGTCCATCAGAGATGTTGCCTCAAATTTGTTCCAGTTCTATCATTCATCTATCATATTTTCTGGAAAGTTGCTAATACAGAAGATAGAATGGTTGGATCTTAATGTTGTTGTTGTTTAGTCGTTTAGTCGTGTCCGACTCTTCGTGACCCCATGGACCAGAGCACGCCAGGCACTCCTCTCTTCCACCGCCTCCCGCAGTTTGGTCAGGCTCATGTTGGTAGCTTCAAGAACACTATCCAACCATCTCATCCTCTGTCGTCCCCTTCTCCTTGTGGGATCTTTCCCAACATCAGGGTCTTTTCCAGGGAGTCTTCTCTTCTCATGAGAACCAGAATTCTTTTAAAAAAAATTTAAATCTTTATTCTTCTTCCTTCCTTCTTCCTTCTTTTTGCCTCTGTTTTTTTTTAAGATTAAGTAGTTATTTTATTTCAGTGTTTTATAAAAAGATACTTAGTAATGGGTATGAACTTTTTTGTATCTTTGAATAAGTATCAAAAAATACTTTTTAAAAAAAAGTTCTTAGTTCACTATGCAGTTGGACACCTCTTAGGATACTGTAAAAAAATTTTGCATGATAGTTTTTTTTTGTCCATCTCTGAACGCAAAATTGGGTGTCTTTTGTTACTAGTTGGCAAGCTGGACCTTTTAAAATGATACTGATTTTAACCAAATGTTACTGAGATAAGGAAGCTATTTTCCACCTATGTTTGGATGCTGTTTGGAATCAGAATGGCAGACAGAACCTTTCAGAACTGGGCTGACTCTAACCCCTTATTTCAAAACTGCAACAATTTTTGGGTTTCTTAGAATGGCTCCTAGTCATGCATGCCTAGTGTCGGATTTGCATATAAGCTAAACAAGCTATAGCTTAGGGCCCCACTCTCTTGGGCCCCCAAAAATGTAAACACTGGATGTACATTTCCAAAATATAAGATGAAAAACAAATAAAATAAAACCTACATACAGCAACAGTGTTTTGTGTTGTGTAGACTTCTATTTGTTATGTGCAAATGGCTTTAGATACATATTAGGTCCATAAATTTACCATATAGCAGTGGTTCTCAAACTGTGGATCCCCAGATGTTGTTGGACTACAACTCCCATCATCCCTGAGCTCTGGCCTTGCTAGCTAGGGGTGATGCGAGTTGTAGTTCAACAACATCTGGAGACCCACAGGTTGAGAAAGGCTGCCATATAGCATATATTCAACACAAAACACAGCGACAATTTGTTGCTGACAAAGGACAGCTGGACATATCAAGGGCCCCATTACCTTCAGTAGCTTAGGGCCTCATCAAACCTAAATCCGGTTCTGTACATGCCTACGCATGATCCAAAGTTAAAATGCTTTCAGATCCTATTGATTTCCAAGGAAAGGAAATTTCTGTGAGTGTGTTCTGTTAGACTTTGCAATGATGCATTTTGCGTGTGTGCTCTCATTTTTAAAAAGACGCTGACAGCTTGCCACTGCTCCACTCCCAGCAGACGGATTATTGTGCCCCGAAAACACAAAACCTTGGTGAGCACCGGCAAAACTGTTCCCTTCCTCTTGAGCTGGTGTCTGAATGCTGTTGAAGGAATGGCATCCCAACAGCACTCCCGTGGAACCAGTGACGTCAGCCTTTGGCCCTGCAGCCAGCAGTTTAACTTGCCCAGACAGCACAGCATTGAGAGCTCAAACTCCCCGGTGAGGAGGGAGGGAGGGAGTGGGTGGAAGCTACAGGCAGCCAAGAGCAATAGCTGCGTTCGTAAGGACCAAAACTACACCATTCCATGCAAACATGGGGAAGTGTGATGTCCTTGTGACTGAGAAAAGATAATTTTGGGGGTGGGGTGGGGGAAGAAGATGCTTAGCTTAATCAGTGGAGGCTGGTGCTGTGAGTTAGGGCAAATGCGGTCCAGTATACCTGAAGGAATGGGGACGCGGGTGGCGCTGTGGGTTAAACCACAGAGCCTAAGACTTGCTGATCAGAAGGTCAGCGGTTCGAATCCCCACAACGGGGTGAGCTCCCGTTCCTGGGTCCCAACTCCTGCCAACCTAGCAGTTCAAAAGCACATCAAAGTGCAAGTAGATAAATAGGTACCACTCTGGCGGGAAGGTAAACGGCGTTTCCGTGTGCTGCTCCTCCAGAAGTGGCTTAGTCATGCTGGCCACATGACCCGGAAGCTGTCTGCGGACAAACGCCGGCTCCCATGGCCTATAGAGCGAGATGAGCACCGCAACCCCAGAGTCAGTCACGACTGGACCTAATGGTCTGGGGTCCCTTTACCTTTATACCTGAAGGAGCGTCTCCACCTCCATCGTTCTGCCCAGACACTGAGGTCCAGCGCCGAGGGCCTTCTGGCGGTTCCCTTGCTGCAAGAAGCCAAGTTACAGGGAACCAGGCAGAGGGCCTTCTCGGTAGTGGCGCCCGCCCTGTGGAACGCCCTCCCACCATATGTCAAAGAGAAAAATAACTACCAAACTTTTAGAAGACATCTAAAGGCAGCCCTGTTTAGGGAAGCTTTAAATGTTTAATAGGTTATTGTATTTTAGTATTTTGTTGGAAGCTGCCCAGAGTGGCTGGGGAAACCCAGCCAGATGGGCTGGGTATGAATAATAAATTATAATTATTATTATTATATGCTGGAAATTGTGGTCACTCACGCTCACGTGCGACTCGGCCCATGGAGGAATTTCCACTGGAGTGAACTGGCCCAAGCCAACCCCTGAGCTAGGGAACCCGCAAGGAAAGAGGGCTCCCAGCCAGAGGATTGGTGGTGGGATGACGATGAGTGGTCAGGGAGAAGATTGGGAAGAGGAGGTGTCAGAAACTGAGGAAGTTACAGGGCTTAGTGAGCTGGGAGAGTCTTGACCAGGCACCCTCCAAAAGTTCCGGACTACAACTCCCATCAGCACCAGTTAATACGCACAATGGTCATGGATGATGGGAGCTGTAGTCTAAAACATCTGGAGGGCAGCATCACAGCCTAGATAAATAAATACAAAACCAAATACTGTGCCTTTGCCAGAATTATTATTATGCTTGTAACTCAGCACATGAGGCGCTTAATCTCAGGGTGGCAGGTTTGAGTCCCACTATGGGCAAAAGATTCCTGCGTTGCAGGGGGCTGGACTAGATGACCCTTGGGGTCCCTTCCAGTTCTGTGATTCTGCCTGTCTACCTCTGGGTCCTCCAGTGTGAAGGGGGGTACTTCAGTGGCAGTCCGTCTAATGTCCCAGCTCCAGGCGGGGCTGGGAATGTTTGGAATTCTGGTGAGCAGCTGCCAGTCAGTGCTGACAATATGGAGAGAGATGGAGGGACGGTCCGCCTCGGTACAAGGCGCAGAAGCCGAGCCACTCTTCCAAAGGCCATTCATTTTCTCCCGCGCGCGTCTGCTAACTCTGGCAACGCATCTTTCACTTGCAGTCAGTTTCTGCCTCCCTCTCTCTTTCTCTGGGCAAACTTTGAGAAACTTGGGCGCGCTCTTTCGTCTGAACGCATCTCTCTCTCCCCCTCGAGGGAACAAAAAACCCCATGGGGTGGGGGCGGACTATTTTTTTAAAGTCCCTTTTGGCATGGGAAAACGGGAGAGAGAGGGCTCCTTTCTTTCCTCCGCCCCTCTCCCCAATTCACTGCTTCTGAGGAAGGGGGAAATGCCTTGTCCCCTTTTGCAAATCCTGCCCCCGCCCCGCGCGCGCTGGAGCTGCGCGGAGGCAGCCTCTGTTTGCGCACGGAGGGGCGTGGGCATAGGGGGGCAGCGCCTATGGGGGGGTGCGCGTCGTGGGGAGGGGCGGCTCCTCGGCTGCAGCCAGAAGGGGGTGGCTTGAGTCGCAGGGCGCCTGCGCCGAAGTACCGGCTTGCCTCCTCCTTGGGTAGGACTTTTTCCCCGCCTGCCCCCCTCGCCGCCAGCCCCATCGCGCCGAGGGGTGAGAGCAGCAGCTGGGCAGGAGGAGGCTCCGCGGTGACACCTGCAGGGAGCTCTCGGCTGCGCTCCTCTCCGGGTGCCAGGTTTTGCAAGAGAGAGAAGAGAGGCAGGGCGGGGAGGACATCTATCTGCAAACCCCGTTTTGTGTGAGGAAGGGGTTGCATCGATTTGGGGGAGAAGGAAGGCAACGTCCGAGCTAGCAGGGAAGAAGTCTTCCTCCCCTGCGGCGCCGTGAACCTGGGAGTGATGGGACTTCAGTCTTCATCTGTCTGAGTTGTGTCTTTAAAAAAACTTTGCTCCCAGGACCCCTGAGAACTCTTAAATCAGCGTCCTGGTACAGCCATGAAGAGGTAAGTTGATCAAGAGTTCTACAGAACTGTAGAGCTCTAAACCAAGGAAGCAGCCCTGCGTATCCACAAGTCCATCTGGGACCCAACTTCCAAGTCGTTTTTAGCCCAGAAGGGACTCTTCTTGGAGAGCATCAGCTGATCTGAGAGATGATCTGGCCACACACCTGATAGGTGATGTTGATTTGAACAATTCTATAAGATAGGATCCTTTCCTCTTTAGTGGATTATTACAGGCGTTGGGATGGCTACTCTTCCTGGGAGCCATGTGAAATGTTTGGGACTTGGGCAAGTCGAAGAGATGAAACAAAAACCTATTTTTTTAAATTTAAACTCTTTGGGGTGGTACCTGTCTCCTTCACTGGGGAGCCAGTGTGGTGTAGTGGTTAAGAGCGGTAGTCTGCTAATCTGGGGAACCGGGTTCGCGTCTCCGCTCCTCCACATGCAGCTGCTGGGTGACCTTGGGCCAGTCACACTTCCTTGAAGTCTCTCAGCCTCACTCACCTCACAGAGTGTTTGTTGTGGGGGAGGAAGGGAAAGGAGAATGTTAGCCGCTTTGAGACTCCTTAAAGGGAGTGAAAGGCGGGATATCAAATCCAAACTCTTCTTCTTCTTCACCCTTTTCTTGTCTACCTGAGCTTTGATTCCCTATCCCTATTCTGATTCCCTATGATTATCTGTACTTAACGTATTGTGGAGAGGGGCTGTAACTCAAGGGTAGAGCATCTGCCTTGTATATGGAAGCTTCCAAGTTCAACACCTAACCCTAACCCTGGTCTTATCTTATTGGAGAAACCCTGGCTTAAAACTGCTGCCAGTCCGTGTAGACAATACTGAACTAGACAGACCAATGGCCTGACTCTTGTGTTTCCTATATTCCTGCATAACCATACAAAGCACAGATCAAGGGCAAGTGATCTTGATTCTAACTAACTCTTCTTGGGAGATTTGAAAACTTTCTCCTACTTGCTGTTTGTCTAATCTCTTTGGACCCTCCCAAATTCCCACGGACCAGCCGTCTCTTTAAATTGTTTTGCATCCACCGCTGTTGCAACACCACCCTTCGAGGCAGGCTCCGGGGCTTAGCAATTCCCTCCTCGGTCCCTGCATACCGAATTATTGAATTATGGGGTCTATCATGTTCTGTCCTCTCTACTAACACAGAATTGTAGAGTTGGAAGGGACCCCAAAGGATCATCTAGTCCAACCCCAAAGGAATCTCAGCTAAAGCATCCATGACCATCCAACCTCTGCTTAAAAGCCTCCGAGGAAGGAGAGTCCACCACGTCCCAAGGATGACTATACCACATGTGCCAGATATCGCTGGACTAGGACTTCTGTCTTCCCTGACCATGGGCTATGCTTCTTGCAGGGGAAGCGTGCAGAAGTTGGATTACACTGCCTGGCGACAGTTATCCAGAGTTTCAGGCAAAAGTCTTTTCCAGCCTTATTCGGAGACCCTGGGGATTGAACCTGGAACCTTCTGTATGCTGAGCCCATGTGCTCTACCGCTAAGCCACAGTCTCCCCCCCCCTAGTTGTGGTTATCCTCCGGTGGTCTAGTTGTGGTTATTCTGCGGTGAGACCTAAGTGCCTCTTACGTACGGTTGCTAAGTCACATCGTGGATACTCCCCTTGTACTTTTTAATTTGGCAGTGAATTGGGAGTGGAGGCAGGAGCTGCAGCGTCTCTCTCTCTCTCTCTCTCTCTCTCCCTGCCCCCCCAATTCCCCAATTGCCCATCCTTTCATTTGTGCAAAATCCCTGTAGCCCTACTTGCTTAAGTAGTCTCATGTAATTCCACAACAGTCCTATAAGGTAGGCTAGAAGAGGAGCTGAGAAAACAAAAGAGGTTTGATAAGGCAGCAGCAAATTAAACCATGCCAACTTTGTGCTGTGGGCACAGCGTAGCTTCTCCAGGTTATTTTATTTCGACCAACTTGGCACCTTTTGCAGTGCCTGCTGTAAATGTGGTTTTGGGGTGCTGTGTGTGTGTGTGTTTTATGAGAAGTACATTTTTCTCCAGTATAGAGATAAGGTCTGTTAAGAGAAAAATATGCAGGCCACGTGGGGAAGTTTTGCAAGGACTTCTTTTGACATGAGCCACTATAACTCAGCAAAAGAAGACATTTGTGCAAGTGTTCCATGGGATGGTGTCCTTCCTCGACTTGGTGCTTTCCAGATGTTTTGGACTGCAGCCAACATGCCTGGGACTGGTGGAAGTTGCCCTCTGGAGGGCATCAGCTTGGGCCGAACAAATGTGCATGCTGTGTTCCTACTGCACAAAGGTGGCATTGGCATCCAACATTCCTTCCGCCTGTGTTTTGACCACCATGGGCATGTGGCTCTCATAAGGTTGCCTGGAGGGGAATGCATCTCTCTGTAAAAGGTTCCACACCCCTCAGCTTAGAGCCTCTCCCAAGTGTTCCATTTTGGAAAAGGACAAGAGAGGCAAAGAAACAGAAAGCACCGGAGAGTTTGTGCTTCCTGTCCCCCTCTGTGTCATTGTCACTTCTGAAGCAGCTCTTAGGCCTGAGATTTCACTGGTGGCTGATGGGGAAGTAAGTCCTTCGGAGTTCGGATTGCAGATATGGCCACTCTCCTAGAGACCAGGGAGAAGGGGTCTAGCTCAGCTGCCTTTGACAACTGGATTTCTATGTGCAGGGAATTCTATACCCCTCTCTCTTTTGCAGGAATATTCATGTGCAGTCCAGAAGCTGATCTAACACCTCATTTGCCGTTTGTGAGAACAAGACCAAAGGGTCCAACGTGTAAATAAATTTGGGTGGTGATGGGCATGTGTTTATGATGTGTGCCTGTGAAACTGAGCCAGTTTGCCCTTTTAGTATAAACACTAACATTCCCTGGCATGCAGTTATCAGAAAGAAACTCTCTGCGTTTGTGTGGTTTGAGGAATTCCAAGAACACAAGGCAAGTCCACGCATGGACTTCATTTTGCTTGCCCTTGCCTTGGTTTTATTTGGATACTTTCAAAGAGTATTCCATCAAGCTATGCCTTTGGAAAGCAATTAATGTTTAACTTCTTATCTACATGCATGCGAGCACACCCAATCTGGACTGCCCCTGCATTTTCTCAATTCAGCCTGGCTGAAAACAGACGGCAAATAGAGCGGCTTTTCTTTGTTCTTGGATTCTGATTGATGATTACAGAAGCAACACTGATTGGAAGCAAATGTCCAGCTATTGTAATCCATGCTTTAATGAGGTAATGAAAGTCATGCCCTAGTTGGACATTACGGTCAATGCATATTTTTGGAAACTCCAGCACAGAATGCCTATGTGCACACACACAGGCTCACGCGAAAACAGCTGATTAATATCATGCTTGCTTTCTTGGGTGACACCCAGGAGATACTCGCTTATTTCCACCAGCTGTAAAAAGTTTCCCTTTGTTGCGAAATAGTTGGGCTTCAGTATCCTGGAACGACTTCCAAAGTCTCTTGGAATTCATATAAATACAGTACAATGGTGGGGAAGGATCTCTCTAGCTTGCACACGCAGCATCATGAGATTGCAGCCTCAGCTGCATAAATCTGCTGTGCGAAAGCCTATAAAAACCCATCCAGAGTGGCTGGCACCCAGAGTTGGCATGATGTGATCCTGGGCTATTGGCGAGTGTGTCTTGATGAAACAACTGCATGAGCCGCATCTCCCTTTTAGCTTACAGTTAGCGAAAGGCTGACATTTCAAGAAAGGAGAGTGAAGTTGCCCTGCAGACCTGACCAGTCCCACCCCTCTCGCCTCTGCATTTTTGGCAAAGTCTGAAAGAGAGCTGGCTGCAGTCATAGGGTGCGCGCATTTAAAGGACCCTTAAAGCACATTGCTCCCTCTGAAAGAATCCTGGGAAGGGCAGTTTACCCCACACAGAGCCACCATTTCCAGCACCTTTGTTAAACTACAGTTCCCAAGCTCCTTTGCGCAACGGGGAGTCTTGCATGACCAGGGCTCCCAAGCAAATGTAGAAGCCTGTATGAAAGCTCTTCATTCGTCTCATGCAGTGGTTCCCAACCTTTTCCAGGCCACTGACTCCTTGGTTCCATAAACTTATCCTCGGTGCCCCCTACCCTATAAAAAGCATTATTCAGAATAGTGGTTTGCACTATGAAGGATAATAGCACAATAAAACCATAGAATTATAGAGTCATAGAATAGTAGGACAGAGGTGCCTGGCATGCTCTGGTCCATGGGGTCACGAAGAGTCGGACACGACTAAACGACTAAACAACAACAAGAATAGTAGAGTTGGAAGAGACCACGAGGGTCATCTATCCCAAATCTCTGCAATGTAGGAATCTTTTGCCCAACGTGGGGCTCAAACCCAGAACTCTGAGATTAAGAGCATCTTGCTCTGCCAACTGAGCTGCCCCAGCCTCCCAATGAACTCTGAATAAAAATTCAGTGAATGAGATTTGTTTTGAAATTTAAGACAGTAACAATGAATTGCACATGCACTCAAAATCCAGTTAAAACTATTTAGTTTAATTCATTCAAGAAATGAATCTCGATCCAGTGATACCAGCTTTACTAAGTCTGGTGGTCGTTTACTCCTCCAGCAACCGCACTCTTGCCTCTTAGCACCCACCTAGGTAATACCACTGCCCCCCAGAGGGCAATACTGTGCCCCTTGGGAACCACTGATGTAATGCACAGACATCAGATGGGTGTTGGCAAGGTGCTGGGAGGGACAGGAGAGGTGATCTCCCTGTGCCAGGTAGCAGGAGAGAGGTCCCCAATCTCTTTGGGGACACATTTTTGAAAATCTAAGAAAATGTCATAGGCGGCCCAAAGAGTCATTCCAGGCTTGCTTTGTATTGTACATTCGTGATGATTTGTGCTCATGTTGGGGCAGCTAAGCATGAAGCCTCTTTTTTCTTTTCTTTTCTTTTCTTTTTCTTTTCTTTTCTTTTCTTTTCTTTTCATTTGTTTTCCAATACTTTTATTTTGCTTTAAATAAATACAGAAAAATATAAACAACCAAAATTAC